CTTAACAATAACTGTTGGTAAATTGGTCCCCCCCCCCCGTTTGGCTCCAAGGCACGGAGGATGGTGTGTCAGAGCGCTCACCAAAACCCACCCCGAGACAGCACGGAAAAGCGAGCATGCAAGCGTTGGACGTCTGTTCAAGCAGTTTCATCTTCCAGCTCAGGGCTGCAGGTTTTACTGGGTTCGTTGGCCCGTTACACGGGTCAGCCGAAGCCACGTTTCAGTAAGACTTAACCAAAAGCTCAGCGTGAGGATGTGGTGTGGCTTATGCCACTAATGTTAGCCGGTTTAATTAATTAAAGAAAACTCATGCTTAAATTCATCAGCTACAGTGCGTGACTTGAGGGACCCGCAAGGTTGAATTTGTTGATCGTAGTGTTTCAGTATTCTTTTCTTGTTCTTGTAGGGTTTAATTTAAGTTTAAAATGTCACTGTTTTGAGGAGGTCACCCCTGCAGGATGCCACACAAGATTGGCTTTGTAGTCATTAGTTCATCAGGACACGAAGATGGCTTCAGTGCAAAAGAACTGATGGTTCATGCACCGACGGTGAATGGATGGCGATCACCAAGGTACTGCAACTAAGGGCAAAGAGCATAATTTTGAAACACTAAGTGAGTTTAAAATGAGTAGGAGAAGTAACGTGCATGTTCAGAGTCGTTTACAGCATCCCAGATGAAACTGATTATAAAAACAAAAATCTAAATGACTTTGATCCCATAAAGTCCTTATTCTGAAAAAGGTCTTGGTTACTACCTAACGATGTAACATCACGTTTAAACAAAGTCCTTTAAAAGAAAGAAGGGCGCTATTTTTGCTCTTGTCAGTCGTCTTGGAGTTTGAAGCTGCTTTAGCTTGATATTAAAAAATCTAATCTTCTTGGTGCTTCTTGTTGATGCATATGGTGCACTTGAACACGCGCAAACTAAAATGAAGAGAAAAATGTTTCTTTTCTATTCCTTGTTTTATGTTTACAATGTTTGTAATGCTAAATTCAACTATTATAACTTCGGAAGACTTTATGATTAAGTATTAATGAAGTTGAAAGTAAAGTCATCTTCAAAGATGACTCAGAAACTGTGTATGTTTTTAGACTCTGTCAGTATCCCCAGGAAATTGTTCTGCAGTTGGTGGAGAGATGTCGAATACGAAAACTACAGTTACTTGCTCACCAGTATATGATTTCAAGCAAAATTGAGTTCTACATCAGTGAAAACTTGCCCGAATACTTTGCTCCTTATCAGTCAGAGAGGTTTCACAGACTAGGGTAAGTCAAAAGACTCTAAAAGGTTATGTTACTTTAATCAGAAAAGCCTCAGGTGTTCATAGTATTCATCATGTTTTCCATGCAATATTGATATGCTGTGCTGCAAGCTGTAAAGAACAGATTCTAAGCTTGTGTAATGAAGCTGAAGACACAGGTGTAATTGGGGATAGAATTTTACTTAAGGTGTTCAGATCACAAAAGACAGCTACAGTGCTCTTTCTGAAACGCTTCAGTAAGTTTTAGAGTTATCCCTCTTTACTAAATGAACGTATTTTCACCTTTGTGGATACACAAGGGAGTGGTGCACCCACTGAAAAGAAAACGCATGTGTTGTTTATTATATATTTTATTCATATTGTGCTTCACTGGAAGCATTGACTTGGGATCCCTCCCTCCCTTGCTGTGAAACAACTCTGAAGTGGTGCTGAGGTGGGTTGTTTTTGTTTTTGCTTTTTTAAGGCGTATTGCAGATCATGAATACTTTTCTCAAATGACAACATTTTTTGTTTTAGTTATGAGCAAATTCTACCATAGCATTTTACCTGCTTACTTGTTAAGTTTTCTTTCTCAGCTATGTTCCTCTCTCAGACAATGAAAAGACTGGATTCAAAGCACGAGAGTTAAAATCTGTATATATGGATGCAGTTGGCCAGTACCTAAAGCTGATTTTCCATAAAAATTATGTCAATAAATACAACATATACAGCCAGGTAAGTTAAATTTGAGTCCTTACTTGATAAGCTAGATGAAGTAAGTTTCAGTAGTACAGGACAGGTACAGAAGTGTGCTTCCTTGAGTTGTAGAAAGTAAAAATGCTGATTGAAAGCTCTCAAGTTTGTTTATGGTCTCCTTTAAAACAAACAAAAAACCTCCACAAAACGTTTGGAATGAGTTAGAATCGTGACTGAAAATATGCAACCTATCCAGAACTAAGGAGTCAAGTGCGCAGCCTATTACTGCTTTTCATTTTGAGTTTCAGGCTGCATAGTAGGCTCTGTGGTGAAGCAAAACACTTCCTCTGAGAGCAGTTCTTTGGTCACCCCAAACCCGCTCTTAGTCTTTTTAAGATCTGATGTGGCATAAAGTTAAGGTGTTATGAAGTCATCCAAATACAGAAAAGGTGAACATTTGCCTCATAGTTCTACATAGGCTCTTTTCATTTCCATTCCAGACAAGAAAATCTGTGAATTTGGCAATAATTTTTTTTAATGAAACGTGAGGTACATTTAGCACTTAAAGCTTTTATTTGGATGCATACCACCCAAAAGACAACAGGTCCTAATCTGCTTATCCAGGTCAATATGAAGATGATTTTGCAGGAGACATTACAATTTGGTCATAACCAAGCAAATTCACTCACTAAAACATTGGTTTATGCACATAAGGTATTTTCCAAGTGAAAATATTCATATATTTAAGAAAAACGTTATTACTGGCTCATCAAAGTTAAACTCATGAAGACAAACATAATTCACATGTAAACATGAAGAGTATTTGGGAATCTCCTTAGAAAAAAATACACAAAGTTCATTTCTGACAACAGAAACATGATCTGCGTTTTTCATAAAAGAAGCAAGCAAAACAATCTCAAAGCAAATCTTGGCTTTTTACCTTTAAGCAATTAAGTGGAGGAATGATAATGCTAACATCCGAAGTAGTTTTACCAAGTGTTTGTTTTCAGATTAATTTTGTAATCAGTATTAAGAATTATACATTTTTCACGTATTTAAGTAAAACAAAGAAAAAGCTAGATGAGTTCTATGAATTGAAGTAAATCACCAGTTGTTAATTTTCAGGGGATTATACTTTTGAGGGAATATCAGCACAAACTGTCTAGTGACTAAATGTGCGTGTATATTTAAGCATGCCATTTTGATTTCATAGGGTAGGGAAGAAATAATGACTTGTGCACTTACATCTCCTTTAAATCTATCCCAGGTTGCCCTAGTAGCCATAAATATTATTGGAGATCCTGCAGACTACAGTAATGACAGCATTAATAATGTAAGTGTGTAATGGCAAGCATCCTTGTCTTTTTAATATTGCTGCATGTGTTCAGTTGCAGGGTTCTTGAGATAACAGAGGACGTTTTTCTTCTAATAGTTCTGTGCTTCAGCAGAGTTGCCATATATCCGTTTTTATCTCATTTTGAAGCAAGAAAGCTCCCATAAAATGTATGCCTATTTGTGGAAGCAAAAACCAAAACGTAATTAATTGGAATGCTTGCATTTTCAGCCTCTTAAAATTCACCTATTTCCATATGCCCAAAACAGAAGCATGCTAAGGCTCATCCCTTCTTTTGATTGTTGTAAGTCATGGTTTCTGTCCTGAACGTACACATGATGTTGCTGAACTAGCATAAGATTTTCTTTGTTTCCCCACAAAGGCTTCAAGAGAGAAGCTAATAGACCACTACTTAGGAAGTAAATCAGATGATCCTGCCTTAGATGGGACATACTTTGGGTAAGGATGCTATTTTGCCTATACCCTGGCAAAATGTTGACGCAGTCTAAATTAGTTCTCAATCGCTATATTTTGTTAGTTCCCTGGTAGGAAAAAGACACGTGCTCAACCTGGTCTATTCTGGATTAGTTGAAAGCTTATTTTATTAATTTTATTTCTTCAGGAAGCCTGATTCCATTTCACCTCTGGATGATTTGGCTTTTGACATGTACCAGGATCCAGAGGTCGCTCAGATAATACGTAGGCTAGATGAGAAGAAGCGTGAAGCTGCCCATCATGAACGCTATGATTATGCCAAGAAACTCAAACAAGCTATCGCAGACTTGCAAAAGGTATTGTCGAACGAGTGTTTTTCTCTTAGACCAAACAGGTTTCCAGTGGTCCATTAGGGTAGTCTTTAACCTTAATGCAAAATGGAATTGTAATGTTTTCCAGTATGTTCTTAAGAGAGTAATGTTAAAATCAGATAACTTGGTTTCAAAACTTGTCTGGAAATGCTGAAGCCCATGCATGTGTGTGATAATGTGACTCCCAAGCTAACCTGTTAAAATGTTTCCCAGGTAGGGGAACGACTTGGACGGTATGAGGTAGAGAAACGCTATGCTGTAGAGAAAGAGGATTATGATCTTGCTAAAAAGAAGAAACAGCAAATGGAAGAGTATCGCCTGAAGGTGTATCAGCAATTGGAGCTCCATAACCTTCTGGATCCAGAGCTCATGGTGGGTGTTGTTCCAAAACTCTGAATGCTTTATCAGGTGGGTATTGTAAATGGAGATGGAAGAACAGCCAAAATAAATTCAGGGGATAAGACACATTGCACAAGTGTTATATGACAATTATGTAAAGATTTTATGATTTCTGTTTAGACCGTGAATTTCCTCAGCGAAAGACTTGCACGTGGCAATTTACGACCGTGCTTAGTCCTCCATAAATCGTGATGCTAAGGCCTGAACCCAATAGCATTGACTCCTAAATTCTTTGCGTTATTTCAGGGCTACTCAGTCCCCATTCATAAACTACTTTCTCATATTTTGAAGTATTTCTCCTTGTGGATACGAGAGGCTTACGCTGGCGTACTGCTAACCATACGTAATTAGAGTGACCTATGAAGAAGCATAAGGTGTATATATAGTTCTGTATTGTTCTTAGTGTGGGGGACTGTTTGCAGTCTCTCTCTGACACTCTGTCTCTCTCTCTTGACACACGCATATGCACAGAATTATTTTGCAATTGTTTCATAAAGCTGTATTGAGCGCAGTAATTGCGCTTCTGTGAATGAGATCTGGTATTTATTTGAAAGTAGCAAAAGTTTTAGTGACTGTCAAAGTTGTAGCTGTAATAACTTTGGTTTTAGTACAATGTACCACCTTAGCCTACAAAATCTCCTTCCCTTTTTCAGGTTCGAAGACCACCTGAGTTGCC